CTGGTGGTGCCTGTAGCTCAGTGAGTAGAGTGCCAGCTCCATATATCGAGTATGGCAGGTTCGAACCTGGTCCCAGCCAAACTGCAACAAAAAATAGCCAGGCATTGCGGCGGGTGCCTGTAGTTCCAGCTACTTGGGAGGCTGAGGCAAGAGAATCACCTAAACCCAAGAGCTGGAGGTTGCTGTGAGCTGTAATACCGTCGTACTCTACCAAGGGCAACAAAGCAAGACTATGTCTCTAATAAAAAAAAGATAAACAGGAATCCCTTCCATTGCTTGAAAACTATCTGATACTTTTGATTGTCTGCAAGTTTCAGTAGCAACCAAAGGTGTGATGTAGCTCTGAAACTCAACAGTCTTTGGCCACCACAATAGGAGTATAATTTCCAAATGGTAAAGGAAGAGTTGTCCTCCCTGCTCAGTCCACAGCTGTGCTTGTGCATCCAATGTGGGGCATTTCATGTTAGAGGGGCAATCACAAACAAGGTATTCCAGAAAGCAAGGAATCCAGAAGCAAAATCCCTGGGAAACAGTTGAGGGACCCGTGAGGAGAGACATGGAGGGGTGACATAAGAATCCTCTTGGACTGACTGAAGGCTGTTGTATACAAATTGGGACAGACTGGGTTGCTCCAGAGAGCACAAGTGGACCACATACTCATGCAGGGGTACTGATGAATGCTTCAGAGGAATTCTGCAAACATCTTACAGCAGTATTTACCAAGGTGCTTACCTGGTACCCCCATGTAAGGGGACAAGCACCCCACAGTGATACAGTTAGATGAACTGGGAGTCTAGTCTCTAAAAATCAGTTTAAAGGTGTGTTGAAAACAGCCTCCAAGATGCACCCCCAGCAAGCCCCACCCCCTGGTATTCACATGTTGAGGACCAGCCCTACTTCTGTATTTCCCCTTCCACACAAATTCATGGCTGACCCTGACCAGTATAATACAACAGAAGGGACAGTGTCTGACTTCAAAAGCTAGGACACCGAAGGAAGGCAGCTTCTAGTTGGCCTCTGTATTACTGGCTGTGGTGGAAGCTGGCTGCCATAGAAACTCGACCAGAGCTGAGACCACTGGCCAGTAGCCGGCACCAACTTGTCAATCATGTAAATGAGTCATCTTAGACATGGGTCCTCAAACTTTCAGCTGTGACTATTGTTTCAAGCCACTAAGTTTTGGGGTGGCTTGTTACACAGCCACAACAACTGCAAGATGGAACCATGTCATGATAGGAGGGCTGTCTCTAGTGCTCTCCTCTGAAACTTAGCCCTAGGCTCAGTCCTGGGAACACTTTCATCAACACCTTGAATGAAGACACAGAAGTGGCACACTGGGTGGCTTCATAGAAAGTCTGTGGCTGATAAGGCAAGGAAACATAAGAATGATGGAATCAAGATCCAAGATGGGCTCGGCACCTATAGCTCAACCGGCTAAGGCGCCAGCCACATACACCTAAGGTGGCGGGTTCGAATCCCCAGCCCGGACCCGCCAAACAATAATGACGGCTGCAACCAAAAAATAGCCGGGCGTTGTGGCGGGCGCCTGTGGTCCCAGCTACTTGGGAGGCGGAGGCAAGAGACTCGCTTGAGCCCAGGAGTTGGAGGTTGCTGTGAGCTGTAATGCCACGGCACTCTACCCAGGGGGACAGCTTGAGGCTCTGTCTCAAAAAAAAAAAAAAAAAGATCCAAGATGATTGGAAGTGATAGACTGAATTTATTAGGGTAATTTTTAATAGAAGCAAAGATAAAGCTCCACACTTAGATTAGAAAATCCCATTGTACAAGGACAAGCCGGGGAGGCATTGGGTGCACAGCAGTGCATGTGGAAGTGATGTCTGAGTTGGCTGCAGGCTCAGAATGAGTAACGATGAGGCTGTCAGAAAAGCGCATAAATGTAGGATGCATTACCAGAAGCACAGCACCCAGACAAGGGAGGCGAGCTCTCCTCTGGCCTGAGCATACCAACAGGAGGACTGTGTTCAGTTCTGAATCACTCTTTGCATGGGCACAGGAAGCCCAGACCTGCTTTAAAAAGATTGACAGGAGAGGGGGGAAGTCTGTTCGTTGAGACATATGAAAAAGGACAGAAAGGAGTGACATATCCAGTCCAAATGGAAAACCAGGAAGAGACTTGAAATAACTGATTTCAAATACAAAAAAATTCTGTCACATGGCAGGACGTCTGGGGACAGGATAAGCAGTGGACATGGACCTGAGGAAACGCTGTTATACAAAGCAGCATTTATCATGTAATAGGTGCCCAATATATATTTCTTAGCCTCTTTACAAAACTGAAAGATTAATTAATGTCAGCCTATGAAAATCCACAGTGTTTGGCATAAGCTTCTGCAAAAGCTGAGGGCTACCTAAATAATAGATCCATGAGAAATCGGGACATGATCTCAGAAGGAAGTAAAACCCATGGGCACCTCCAATTAGAATCTAATGTACCTCTTGAGGACAAATTCATGGAAAGGACTGCCATATACAAGAAGGGATGACCTCAAAGTTCTCTAAGAGCCCTTCCCAGCTCTGAGATGCTCTTACTGTACAATCTTGTGATTGAATGAATAGAAGCTGCTGAATGTGCAGGGCTTCTCAGACTTCACTAAGTATGTAAAATACTTAGGAAGATCTTGTTAAAATGTACATTCTGATTCAGTTGTTCTGGGGGCAAGGGAGGCACTGAGATTCTGCATTTCAAATAAGCTCCCAGCTGACACTGCTGATAAGTAGACCACACTTTCAACAGAAAGAGGTTAGAGCTTGCCAGTGACAGCAGATTGGATCAGCCTGGAAAAGGCGTTAAACAACTATAAAGTATTCTAGCAGAGGACTCCAGAAATACAACACAAGAACAGGGATTCTGAGTTAAATAGGAACAACAGCTACCTCCTGCTTAAATGTCACCAAAGGCTTTTTGATACTCATGATCTTAGATTCTTTGATATGGTCTTTAACATGTCCAAACACTTTATCATTATCAACCTGAGTTTTCTATCTCCATCATGGGTAGGCAGTGCAGAGTCATGCCAACTTGAGCTCAGATCCCATTCATGATCATGGTGGCCTCTAAGTCTTGGTTTCTTAGTGCATAAATGAGACTAATACCCACCTGAGAGGCCACAGTGCCAAGCAGCATCTGACACGTAGTAGGTGTCCAATATATATTTCTTAGCCTCTTTATAAAACAGATCAATGAATACGTGTTTCTTTCATTATACATGTACAGATGAAGTAGCTAATTAATATTCGTCCTTGACTTAAACTGTCCTACACTAACCCCACCTCCCTGGTACATATGCCCAACATGACCCCATTTGAGAGATGTGGGAAATTTGTTCTGACCTACAACATCAGGCAAATACTGGCAGGAGAATCCATGACTATTTCTGTTTGAATTTTAGAGAATTTTTTTTCTAGAAGGGTCATTTCCCCTGGTCTAAACATTGAAGTCAGTAGTTAATGAGAATTTATTTCATTTTTTTGAGAGGGAAGCCATTATTATCCCCATGATGGCTTTGGTCATCATTATTTCAGCATGCCCTAAGTGCTCTGAAACTTAGAGACCTGACTCAGAGAAGCCAGCAGATACAGGTAGAAAAGGAGTGAAGTCAAGAATCCACAACCAGTGCAATATTTTAGCCTCAACTCCCAGAGGCCCATGGGTGGGATGAGTGCCCCTCCCCCTTCCCTGGGGCCTCACTGCCCTGGACAGAGAAGATGGGGAGAGAACTTGCAGAGAATGTGCTGGGCAAGGCTGAGGCCTCAAGCAGAAGACAGCCAGCATAATAACCACACAATTCCAGCAGAGTCATCCTGGGGAAACTGAGGCACGGTTCCTTTTAAGCAAATAATTGATTATAGCTTGGTCTATCATCCCTGTACAGGGCAGCCCTCAAAGATTCCACTTCTTCAGTCCTCACACAGTGAGAGGGTCAGGAAGCCTTCAGCATACTGACTGAGGCCACTGTGTCCACCGCCAGCTTCTTCCATAAGAACTCCAAAGGTTGCCACCCCCTCGGGTCCTCCAGCAGTGCTGTGGCTTACCCAGGCAGATCGTGTTGTAGAGGGAGCATGACCTTGGGATCGAACTCATACCCCACCTTTAGTAGGTAACTCCACCACTTTCTGAGATTCATTTTCACATCTTTGCTGGGTATGGGAGTCAGGGTGGGGAAGAGGGAGTTGAGCTCTTTGAAAAAATTAAATAAAATATTAATGTATGTTACACAACTGGCTCATAAGCAAAAGCTGTTAGTACTTTTCACTCCTTTTCCAAAAAACAACATCATTAGGAGTGTTATAGAAGTACTGGAGCTACAGAGGTAGCGGAGAATTCCAGCTTCACTTGAGATGTCCTTGTTCTCTCCTAGGGATTTTGAAGACTCTTGCCCTTTTTGCCCTGAAACTCCCAGCTCCCGGTACCTTCTCGCTTGTCTTATCGCCTCTCTCCGCCCTCCTCTGTCATCTGGGTGTATACCCCACCCCAAAGAAACTTTCAACCACTCCTCAGTAAGGGTCCTGCCAAATCGTGGCTGGACAGTAAGGGGTCGCGCCCTCCCTGGATCGCTTCGCGCCGGGCCTCAACGGCAGACCCCGCCGAGCGCCCGAGCCCGCGTCCTGCTGCGGGCCGGGCCACCCGGGGCTGCTCCGATGCGGCGCTTCGGAGCCCTCTGCCTGCGGAGCTGCCGACCGCAATGCAGACGCCGGCGCTCCAGCCCTTCTCGCGCCGCCTTCCTGTAGCCGGCCGGAGCTGCCGGCCCCGCGCCCTGCGCCGGGGCGCTTCCCCAGCCGAGCGCCTGTAACAAGCCAGAGTCCAACGCGCTCCAGACGCCTTTGCCGTCCCCTCCCCCCGTCCGCCGTTCCTATGCCCCCCAGGGGTGGGGTTTCCCCTCGCGCTCGCCCTCTCCCGTCCCCCACCCTTAGGGGCCCTCCCCTCCCCCGCCCGCCCCTATGTATGTGTCACCGCGCGCCATGCCCGCCCGCCCGCCCGCCCACCTACCTCCACGCCGCTCCAGAAGGGGCTCGCAGAGCTGAGGACTCGCACTGCGTTGCTCCAGGTCTCTCTCTCCGCACCTCCACAGGCCGGCATCTCACGCGGGTGCCAGGGGCTCCGGGCACCTTTCAGTGTCCCTTCCCGCGGCCAGCGGAGACTCCGCAACCCAGCCACTGCCTCCGCGGCCATCGCCCGAGGGAACCTGCGGACAGGACGCGGACAGGAGAAGGGTGCGCAGCGCCCGCCGCGCAGAGCGTCTCCCCAGCTGCGCAGGAGACCTGGGCCTCCCGGCCCCTGACCCCACCCCCGCAGCTGCCTTGCTAGGTGTATGGGACTGAAGTTCTTGGAGAAGAGAGTCCAAGTCTTCAAGGTAACCCTCTCCTTCCCTCCAAATAGAAGCTCTCCCAGGGCGCCTGGCGAGCCCGCGCGGGTCTGAGGTCTCCAGCCTCTGCGCTGGGGCCTGCGCTCCCCGGTCTGGCCCTGGAGAGGTTTGCGTCGGGGGCTTCCGCCATCCACTGGCTGCGTCCTAAGTGGAGTTGAGCAAACTTTCCTGCTGTTGCAGTCTCAAAGTGAATCGGGCGAAAGAGCATGTGAGGAGGGGCACTTGTCTCCTAGTCCGCCAGGATTAAGGAACAAGGGAGCCTTTACTCCAAATTCCCAGTCCTAGGTAGGGTCTGGGAAGACACATAATTGAAAGAGTAGAGGCTTTAGAGTCAGGGAAATGTGGGTTCAAATCTCCGCTGTGCTATTTTTGAGCTGAAAGAGATGCTTCATCTTCCTGAGCCTGGGCCTGCCCTCTGTCAGCTGGGAAACAGGAGGCCTCCTGGGCAGGGTGGCTGGAGGAATAAATGGAATGGTGTGGACAGTATGTCAGATAAACAGCAGTTGCCTAAGCTGAGGCTGAGACAAACCATTGATCCCACTTCTTTGGCTACTTGGCTTGCTCCAGAGCCCAGAGTGCACCTAAAGAGGTAGAGGAAAGCCCGGAGAGTGGCAGAGCCCAGGACAGGGCTAGTGAATTGCTGGCCAGGGAGATCAGGGCAGTGCTCAGAACATGCCTGTGTCCACCAAGAAGAGGCATTTCTCAAGGAAGTAAGTGGAGGGGAGATGAGGACACCTGACCACGGCAGTTTTCCCATCTCTGGGTTTCTCTGCCAATGAAGCCAATGCTGGTGGAGCAGGGGTTGGATTAGAGGCTGTCACTGTGTCAACTGAGCCATATTGGAGGCAGAGCAAGTAGTGGGGGTGGGGGCCTGTCTCCAGTTGAGAGACAGGATCCAACCCAAACTTTTCCATCATTATCCTCCTGCCAGGCAGTGAGCTGTGTGGAGACAGGATTCTACTAGGCTAGGGTTTCACCATTAAGAAGCTCCACTTCCTGCATTTTGATTGGTGTGTAAATTCTGGTTCTGTGGGGGTGGTAACCAAGAGGAAAAGGAGGGAGATGCAAAGCTGAATTGGGTTAGCGTGGCATTTCTGTCCTGGGTGCTGCATGGGTGGGTGTCTGACAGTTTAGGGGGAACTCTGGATCTTGAAAACACACTCGTCTTATCTCAAGATGAGAGCAAGTGCACCCAAAAGAGGTGCAATGGCTTTCTGACGTCGCTCTGTGACTTTGGAGCAGGACTAGAGTGTAGATGAGGCCACAGTCATCTGATAGATTTAAGAGTCCAGAAGTCTGTGCTCTAATGATCATGTCTCTTCCTTGTCCTGGACAAGGAGCAATGAAGTTGCCCGTGCGCCTTGCACTGGGCGGTTTAGGAGGCACCATGAAGATAGATGGAAGAGCTCAATCACTGAGCCCAAGGAGAGGCTGCCCAGAAATGAAGGAAAAGATTACAGAACAAAAGACCACCCAGTTTTAAAAGTTTTAAATGAAGAAATTATCAAAAGAAAGATGTCTCTCAGAGAGATACTGGAATTCCTTAGGTTCTGTGGAATTGTGTTTAATTTAGACATACATCGCACTTCTGTGCGCTGTGCCTAGGGTGTTCATTCATTCCCTCACTATCCACGGAGCGCCACCTAGGAGCCAAGCTCTATGCTCAGTGCTAGCCCATAGCAGGGACACAAGAGACGGCAGCTGTGGGATGACTCCAGCTTAGCACCATGCCTGCTGCTCAGCAAGTACTCAATAGCTGTTTGGTATTATTATTACTATTAATTCTTACAGTAATAGAAATTTTTCTTTTCCTAGAATGTTCCATGCAAATTGTATTTAAATGGGGATTCTTTATTTAATGTTTGGAAATCCACATCGCATGCAGGCACACCTCTTACCTCTCCTCCCCATTTCACATGTGCACCCTCATCCCAGGCAGCCCCAGTCCCCTGCACTCTCCATCCTCCTGTGAGAGAGACGGTAGGGAAGAGATGGTAGGGAAGAGCAGAGAGGGTGGGCAGCCTGGCATGCAGTGCAGTCCTGGGTTCAAATCTCAGCTCAGCCACTTACTGGCTACATGAATTTGAAGAGGTTACTAAGCCTTCCAGAGGCTCAGTTTCCTCTTCTTTAAAAAGCAGAGGAAATCCTCCAGCAGGCAATTTTTGTGAGGATTAAAAAACACAATGTGAGTGGCTTCTCTGGCTGTCAGTGGACACCACATAACTTAATTCCTTTTCTCTAATGGTTCTTAGGCCCCCTTGGGGGTCACAAACCCTAAATTCAGCATAGTGCATGTACCAACTTTGAACATTCTTTCTCAGTTAGAGAGAGGACTGTGTATTCCAACTTTTAGTGTGAATTTTTTTAATGAAGTCTTCTAGAACTGAGTCACTCCTGAGACTCATCTTCTTGGGCACTTAGGAGGACCTCCGCTGAGCTAGAGGAGGCCCATGGGTGCCTGCTAGGAGTTCCACTATTAGTCTGTCTCTGCTTCAGCAGGAATGTCTAGCATAGACTTTGTCCAACTGCAGGTTGTGAAACCAATTTAGTGGGGTTTTTAATGAAATAGGTGAGAATAAATAATCTCATAGTGCCTCCCATGTAGTAAAGGTAAGTATTATTTCTGGAAACTTTAATTTCTGTTATATATTTTGCAACCCTCTATGAGAGCATGTGTGTTTATAATATAAATGTATATGCAAATATATACAAATTCATATGTGTGTGTGTATATATATATATATATTTTTTTTTTTTTTAACTTTGAGTTGTAGTCAAAAAAGCTTGTAAGACTCTGGTCCCAGTGGCATTTCTGTCTCTCCGAAATTCTTGTCCCATGGATCCAAATGGCAGGCACTGGGACATCCTTGCTACCACTGTCCCAACACCTGGACTGTACAGTTAAGGTCCCGGGAGTCAAGGAAGTTGGGGTTGAAGCTAGGGGCAGAGGAAAGGCAAGTTCAAGGAAGAGGACCCAGAGACAGAGAGGAAGCAAGGTGTGGAAGACAGATGTGCTTATGAGTGAAGCAGTGGAGGGCACAGGGCCAGCAGCTGTCCTGGGAGAGGAGGGAGTCTAAGGATGGGAGCACATCTTGGAAACAGAAGCCTTACTCTCCTGCTGTCTCTGAGGCCTGGCCTTGTGGCCATGCTCTAGGCCTTAACAGGAGCTTCACTGCTATCCTCTTAATTTATTAATGAAGCCCTCATCAGTGGTGGAAAGGGATCCATCTCTGTGCCATCTTTCTTAGGGTTGGCTGCCCTGCTCCCACAGACCCAACAGGATGCAGCCACCCCTGTGAGGGTCCTGGCCCCTGGGCACAGTTGGAGATGGAGTCTGTGACAGAGGGGAGGAGTTGCTGGGCAGGAGGCAGGCACAGGAGGGGTGGGGGAAGCCCAGTGCAAGCAAGAGGAGGACCAGAGAGGGGGGAATTTGTAAGAAAAACGGTAAAACGGTTCCTTTTTTCAAAAGTTGAATCCAGGGCAAGAACGGAAACAGTGGAGTTTACTTTTAAAAACTCAGAGCCTCCTTGTAAGCAGCCAAGTGTGTGTGTATGTGTGTGTGTGTGTGCCTGTGCGCGTGCTGGCAGGGCAGTCCTGCAGGGTGTGTGTGTGTGTGAGTGTGTGTGCCGGCAGGGCGGCCCTGCGGACTGGCCTGCTCTGTGAGAGGTGACTTCTATCCCGCTCAAAGGCCTTACAGTGTATCCTAAAGAAGCTTTTTGTTAAACTCATGAATAGGTGGATTTGGGCATCACGATTTGGATATTTGGTTACCTTTGAGGTTACATGTTTTTCCTTTAAGACATACTCAAAAAAGGAGCCCCATCTCCTGTGTAGGGTCACTGTGAGGGCGGGAGGGGGCTTCCCTGTCTCTCTGCAATTGATTTGACTTGAGGGGCGAGGATAGAAGGAGAAACACAGGACTAGGCATGTCTTCAAAGCCTGGCCTGATGGACAGCCCCTCTTTAGCCCCCTGATCTCTGGCAGTCCCTAGACCATGGATCCCCAGGACCTTCAGGACCCTTTATGTTGCTCAATTACAGATTGCAGAGGAGACCCACACCCAAGCAAGGAAAGGACCGTGCCCTAGGCCACTCCAGAGTAGGCTAGTAAGGTTGATCTAGACAGGAATCCAGACCTTCAGGCCCTCATCCCCGAATGCTCCGTGTTCACAGAGATCATTCATTCATTATCCTTTCAGCAGCACTTGCTATGTGCCAGGCACAGTACGAGCTATAGTTAACACAGCAGTGAACAAATCAGCTCTTACTTCCTCTCCCTGCTTATGGTCTAATGCAGAAGACAGGCTGTAATTAACTTGACACTGACCCTTCCTTTCTATAAAGCAGTGGTTCTGAAGTGGGGCCTATTTTGTACCCCCAGGGAACTTCGGGCCCTAACTAGAATGGGATTTTATTAGCATCTAGGGATGGAGGCCAGGGATGCTGCTGAGCATCTCGCAGTGTAGAGGGCAGCAGCTCCCACACACGTACAAAACAGAGAATTATCTGGCCCAAAATGTTAGCAGTGCCCAGGTTAAATGAACCTACCTTCATTCAGTTCCTGGACCAGGCCACACCCATCTGTGCTGGACAACAGGAGGGCTGTGGCTAGGAAGGCAAGAGGGAAGGTTTGGGGGACAAGAAATGAAAAGGGGAAAAAAAAAAAGGCAGGGCCACAGTGGCAAAGTAGAAGAATGAGGGCTTTGGTAGCCCGGATCTAGGTTGTGTGCCCTTGGTTGAGTCACTTATTCCCTTTGAACCTCAGCTTCTGTTTCTAGGAAATGGACTTATGGGACTGCTGTGAGGGTTCAAGATGAAGCAAGTGAAGGACCTGGCACAAAATAGATTCACAATAAAATGGCAGCCGTTATTATTATCTTTGAGGGTTTTAAAAGTCCCAATGTGGAAAATTATTACAGTGTGTACAGCAGTGTCAGCAGGTTAAAGAAGGTTGAGAGCACGATTTCCATAATAATCTCATGCACTAGG